TGGTTTATTTATTTTATTTGTGGTTTATTTAATGACTTTGTCATTATATTATATAAATTGGTTACTAGGATGATTAATGAATAATAAATCGGAAGTAAGCGGTTGTGGCCTATTTTGGAGTCCTGTCCTGGCATGTGCCTGGTGGGACTGAGGAGAACTGATAATAATTTCAGTCACAATTGTCATTGTTTCAACTGATATTTGAATCAGGCACCCCGAGTACAACTGAGAAACATTACGGCCTCAGCTAACTTGTGCTTTGTTTTTCTTAGTGCCTCCTCTTTATATCCAAAATAAAGATATTAAGCACAGAAGCTATTTTATTGGAAACCTACTGATATTTTATCTGCTTCTCATCTAAGAAAGAAAATAATTAACAACAAAAATGTATATATTTGGAAGTATACTACACTGGAATTGTTAATTCTCAGTTTTTCAAATTCATGCAAGGAAGTGAACTGGATAAAAAGGGTGTAAAAAGGATGCAGAGTTACAGGGATACATGTCCATACCATATTTGGTTTTTGGTTTTATGTCTTCAGTGTTATTAGAATTGCAAGTTGTTTAGATTTAGAGAGAAATATGAATGGGGTTATGACATATTTTAAAGTGTATACATATAGGCCAAGTTTTCACCCAAACTGTCATTGTTAGTAATTCAAAGTGCAGAAATCTTCATTCCAGCATATGCATAATTTATATATGCTACTTTATAATAAAGCTAATGATAAACTAATTTTTTTATATTATTTTTATCTTTCAGTTTTCTAGACAGAATAATGGAAGTTAGGAATCCAGATTATAGACCATCTGATCAGGTATGTAAATACATTATCTGCTGGAGTTCATGCATTTGTAACATGAAGCATAAATTAGAATGATTTTGGTCTGTGTAATTACCAGTGAAATGGTTGTGAATGCATTATGAAACTTACTTACTTACTTTCTCATGGAGCTGAGCCCTTGTGGAGGAGCCGCCAATTCTGCAGCTACTCAAGAATTTCCCAGCATTTTATGGAACCCAAAGGTTGATTACTGTGTTCACAAGAGCCTTCCACTGGTCCCTATCCTGAGCCAGATCAATCCAATCCATACCATCGCATCCTAGCTCTCTAAGATCCATTTTAATATTGTCCTCCCACCTATGCCTTGGTCTTCCCAGTGGTCTCTTTCCTTCTGGCTTTCCCACCAATATCCTATACGGATTCCTCGTCTCCTCCATTCGTGCTACATGCCCTGCCCACCTCATCCTCCTTGACTTCCATAATGTGTATATATTTACCATCTTTTATTGCATACAATTTCACTTGTCACTTCACACTACATGTTTTGGCATCATTCTGCCATCCTCAGGTGTATCAATCACATTAAACCATTGCACTGCCTGCCATCAAGTGTCAATTTATAAAATGATATAAAATGTGTGTTCGTCATTGTTGAATAATAAAATTTATATATTAAAACTTATTAAGATCTATCATCTTACATGTCGTATATCAAACTCGTGTGTAGCCATTCATCCACTATGGGAGTGATTCTTCTTATGCTTTAATTGTGTATATATTGTGTCTTATGATGTGTCTTTCTTATGTGGCTATGTGCATTGTATTGCTGGATGTATCTGTCCTTGACTTAACATTCTAATTATACTTGGAGAAGAGTAAAAGTAATGAAGCTCATTATGCAGTTTTCTCCAACCTTCTGTCACTTCATCTCTCTTCAGCGCAA